GTTAGTGCAAAAAGCTTTGAAAAAAAAAAAAAAAAAAAAAAAAAAAAAAAAAAAACTGAGAACACATGCAGTCCAGGTTGGCTACAAGATCATAGAAATGCCTAGGCCACTGCCTCCTGGAAGATAAAAATGAGCAGTAAGTATTATCGTATTCATGAAGGAAATTTGGGCTAAATCTTTAAAATCCAGGCTGGCAAGTTTTGATTTCATTTTATAGGCAGGAGGGCGTCTCAGTGCTTCTGAACAGAAGAATAGCAGACACTGAGTAAACTTTGAAGATTAATTTGGCAGTCATGTGCAGAATCTAGGCAAACTGGAAGGGCGGTAAGTCCATCTATGAAGTTTCTGCAAAATACACAAGTGACGAATTTGAGAGTGTTGTTTAAATGTGAACCAGCAGTAAGAGATAAGTTTTGAGAGTGTGAGAGTCCTTAAATGAACTCAGAAATCTAGAAGAATGGTATAGTGCTAAGGGAAATGGATGAGAAGGGTTGCACTTGTGTGTAAATTTATATTGGAGGTGCAACCGAGACATTCAGATGATTGTGACTAGAGCTAGAGCTCAGAATAAGTCAAGGTTAGACCAACAAATCTGAAAGTTATCGTTGGAGACATCCGGGAACAACATCAATAAAACAGAGACTGAACTGGCAATGGGGCAAGATTAGCAGCAGAGAGCGCTATTAAGAAAGAAAGACTGTCAGGGAAGCCAAAGGTGGACAGAGTTCAAGTGGGGTTATCCAACAATGTCAGCTACAGCACAGAGGCCTTCATTTCTCTCAGAAACAGCCGATTCTCTTAGGCATTTCTGAGTTAGGCTTTTGTAGGCTGGATGACCTTGGCCTCAGGTCTCTACTTTGCTAGGGTAATATACTCCAGGCCTAGACTTGAAAGAAGGATCTCTTTTCAAAATCTCCAAACTGGCCCTGACCTCACTAAGTCTACATTGTAGAATGTGAGTGAAATAAAGCCAAGCAGAACTGTGAGAATGACAGATTCTTTCCCAAGTCAGATAATTTTGGCAACATGTCTTTCCCATTTGTTTCTCAAATAATGTGGTATCTACTACATTTTTAGAAGCCGCAGCAATGATTAGTATTGATTTTCTTAGTATTTACCAATCCTCTCCGTGAGCTTGCTAGATGTGCAGGGGCAATTAATTTTAAGATATTTTAAAAACAAGAAAAAAGCAACTCTTCAATGTATAACAAGTACTGAGAATCAGATCTGCAGACACAATGTTAGACAACTAGACGCTTTCCACTAAAGCAGTAACTATGCTTAAGTCACAGAAACATTCCTGTCCCTTGGAAGGAAGCTCTTAAAGCAAATTCTGGGAAGAAAAGAACCCAGTAGTTTAAACTGCTGAGGAAAAAGGGACAGCCCCCTCTCCGAGTAGGCACCGGAGCTACCTAGATTTGCACAGGGCCAGGCAGTAGGTTTCAAGTCTGATAACATTCTAACTTGCTACCAAAAAAAAAAAAAAGAAAAGAAAGAAAGAAAGAAAGAAAGAAAGAAAGAAAACTTGCTATAGTTATTGCTGCCAGATCTCCTCTACTGAACACTCAGGCTGAAGTACCAATCTCAAAAATTTAAAGTCAATATTTGTACAAAAGTCACTGAGCCAGGTTAAATGTTGGCAGCACTTGTCTAATTTCGGGCGCCTGTCTGAGTTAACTCCGGAGTCATACAAGGCTGCACGAGAGACGCGCCGCCAGCCCAGATGCAACATCTGGCAAAGCGTGTGTCTGTCAGCTGCACAAAACATGGTACATAATAAATTCCTCCACGTTGAGTCCCTGTGTCCCCAAACTCTACCTAACTTTAAGAAAGAAGGAAATGAGGGTCAGAAGGGAAGATAGACGTGCGGGGTCAAAACTAAGTAAGAGCCAAAGTGGCAGGAAACTAAGATGTTGTTGCAAAAATAGGTGCTTGGGAAGAAAAAGTCAGACACGGAGAAAAGGCGAAGGCAAGGGCTCGGGGTCCGAGAGCTGACCCTCCAAGGGCGGGCTGGAAACGTCGAAGACAAGCAATCCCCAGCTCCAACCATTTTCCCACCTCGGGGACCTGCCATAGGCTCACTTGGGCTTGCTCACTCACCTCCACATGAACCTCCACACTTCCCGCTGCCCCACCATTGCCCAAAAATCTGAGAGGTACAGCAGCTACTCAGAAGAATACCGACGTCCTCACGCCTCACGTCAGACCCGCCCACTGCAGCGATACACAGTCCGGCGCACCTTGCGCCGCCGGCCATAGAAAACAAGTCCTCCGGAAGGCCAGAGCGGTCCATGGTGGGCGTTTCCGCCCCGCGACGCTGAGGGGCGGGTCGAGAACTACTGGTAGAGGAAATGAGCAGAGGGGCGAGGCCTGTGGACGGGATCTTGGGCGGGGCCCGGGTGAAGGCGGGGCGAGAGCGGAGGCGGGGTCCGGGTGAAGGCGTGTTCCGGGCGAAGGCGTGGCGAAAGCGAAGGCGGGGCGAGAGCGGAGGCGGGGTCCGGGTGAAGGCGTGGCCTGGGCGAAGGCGTGGCGAAAGCGAAGGCGGGGCGAGAGAGAAGGCGGGGTCCGGGTGAAGGCGTGGCCCGAGTGAAGGCGGGGCGAGAGCAGAGGCGGGGCTCGGGTGGAGGCGGGGCTCGGGTGAAGGCGGGGCCCGGATGAAGGCGGGGCGATAGCCAAGGCGGGGCGAGAGCGGAGGCGGGGTCCGGGTGAAGGCGTGGCCTGGGCGAAGGCGTGGCGAAAGCGAAGGCGGGTCGAGAGAGAAGGCGAGGTCCAGGTGAAGGCGTGGCCCGGTCGAAGGCGGGGAGAGAGCGAAGGCGGGGCGAGGGAAGGGAGGCAAGAAAGCCTTCAGAGCAGGGAAGGAGGTTGCTCTCTAGGGGTTGTCTTGGGAAAAGTTAAGGGGTGGTCTGGACTTGGCCTGCTACTTTGACTAGCAGGGATAGGTGTGATAAACTTCTGGGATTTTAATAACTTTTTATTAAAGATTTAAGCTTAGTACTCTTTTCTTAGAGAATGAAACAGATGAAATACACTTGATAGGCAGACTGTTATGTGCAGTTTATTCCTAACCCTGTATAGCAGAATTCCTAAAAGGAGTTAGGACTAGGACATGGCCAGTTTTCTTGGGAAGTTATAGACTCCCCGCTCTACCTCAATGGCAGGCAAGAACTGGTAGAGTTTAAGAGGTGCATACATGTCGTCACCAACTAAGCTAAAAGTTACTGTTATCAGAGAAAACATAATGACATTCAGGAAGTAGCCTATTCTTTTTTTTATAGCAAGATAAGATGAATTATATTTTGAGGGTGTATTTGTAAATCACTAAGGGCCAGTAAAGGAACCTCAGAGTAACTAAGCAGAAATATGGCACAATCAGATATTAATTCTATTAGTATTACTTTGAACCATGGCCAGTGGGTCAGAGAAAACGTCTGGTTCCCCACACACTATTCTATATCTTTTCTGTAATGTTGAGGAAAAACAGAGGCCGAAGAATGAAAACGCAGCACTCTGGAGAAAAAGGAGAACTCATTTTTTGTGTCAGTGGGCATGGAGGAGTTAACATTCTGAATCTCCAGCCTTGGCTGAGGGTTGGACACGGTATTTTATGGGTGAATTGGGGAGGGGTAGTTTTAGCATGCTTGGAGTGTCCTATCAGGAAAAAGGGGCTCAATGTCAGCCCTAATACAGAGCTGGCAGAGAAGCAGGGACTCCAGACCTATGGCTGCTCAACAGTTCAGAGGTAGGGCAGCTAACTCACTCGGGAGCAGAAAGCCCAGGCAGCTATCAGCCCTGAGTTGTTTCAAGGTCACTCACAAGTTCCCCTACATCAGAACAGAAAGTTTAGGCAATTATCAAACTTGGATTGCTCAGCATCAGAACCTTCATACTAACTGGACTGAAGGTTTTGATCTACCTTGGGTTATCTGATCCCACCCCTACTTCATGACATCAGCCCACAATAACATTTTGAACAGTTTTTTTTCTAATTTTTTTCTTGAGAAGTTTTTGCTATAGGGCATGTGTGCTTGCCAGAAAGACAGAGAGAGACAGAGAGACAGAAAGTGAGAAATCACCACCCAGGAAGGATGGCCATGGTGCAATCCCTTCTCCTCCATTCTCCTCTCGGGATCTCGCGCACACACACACACACACACACACACATTCCTGGCATGAGTTTAAGCTGTTGGGTCTGGGGCTTGAACCACGGTCGACTACATGGGAGTCCAGCAATATAGCCATTACACCATCTGCTGGTCCCAGGTTTGTTTTTTTTTTAATTTATATATTTATTGTTATTGTCACACTTGCTAACTTGCAGACTTGTTTCCCATTTTCCGAATTCAGTACAGTTATCTGATTAGCCAGTGTAACTTTTCGAGATATGAGCAGGCTAACTTGAATCTCCAGAGGCCATAGGATTTAATCATCTGTCAGATGTTCATGAGTTCCAATATTACTTGTGTCTGATAGACAATGATGGAATATTTCTCAAACTACCCATCAGTATCTATGCTCAGAGTGATTCAAACACCAGCTAACAAAGATAAGAAAATTGGCCCACCACTGAGACACAAGCTTTTTTTGCCATAGAATGGTGGCTGAGGCTAACTGGTAGGCCCAGATTCAGTTCCAGCCCAACCTAAATATACTAGATGTGGTGCACATGCCTGTGGTCCTGGCTCGCCAGAGGCTGGGATGAAAGGATTGTGATACAGTGAGATGTTCTGAAAAAAATATTTTTAAAAAGTTATTTATTTAGCTTTATCATTTTTGAAAATTTGCTTTAGGACACATGTTCTCACCAGAGAAAGACAGAGAGAGAGCGAGAGAGAGAGAGAGAGAAAGAGAGAGAAAGAGCAAGTATCCAGGTCCAGGACTCAAACCACCATCAGGCATCTGGGAGTCCAGCACTCCAACCACCATGCCACCTACTGCCCCCCCCAATCTTTTCCTCTCTCTCTGTCCTCACACTGTTGCTCTTTCACTCTCTCTCAAAGAAGAAAGAGAAGGAAGAAAAAAAATAAAGAAGAGAGATGTTAATAAAATGGAATTTTAAAAGTAAAGATGGTTTCTGTTAGAAAAATAATGTGTATATATATGTGCAGAAACATTCTAGTGAAAGCACATCCCAAATGTTAACAGTAGTTATCCTTGGGTGGTAGTAGAAATATGAGTGACTTGCTTCTTTTTCATAATTGTTTATATTTTCTATTGTTTTACTTCAGGATAGGTAGTTGTTTTGTAACAAAAAGAAAAGTAGTTTTTAAGGAAGTAGGAGAACATCACACAAAAATCTGTCATACTACTCTTTAAGAATAATTCCCCAAATACCTTTGGATAAGTTTCTTTTTTTCACACACACTTAGTTTCTAATGAGTTGCCACCCATGGTGAGTAATCACACCAAAGAAGATTGAAAGGCGTAAGTTTATCCATAAGATAGTCCCTCCAAATCAGGTTCTCAGGAAAAAAACTTTAGTACATTGCCAGACTTTGACTTTGCATGCTAAAGGATGCCCCTAATAAGCAAATAAATATAGATAAATAACACGTTCACAGCATAAGAAATAACACTGAAATTAAAAAGGCTTTGCCTTGTATTTGTTTTTTTTTTTTTGAGAGGTTTTCGCTATAGGGCGTGTGCGCTTGCCAGACAGACAGAGAGAGACAGAGAGACAGAAAGCAAGAAATAATCCCCCAGGGAGGATGGTCACGCCGCAATCCCTTCTCCTCCATTCTCCTCTTGGGATCTTGGGCACGCACGCACACGCACCCGGCGTGAGTTTTAAGCCACCGGGTCTGGGACACGGACCGCGGTCGACTACGTGGGAGTCCAGCGACATAGCCATTACGCTAACCGCTGGTTCCCTTGCCTTGTATTTTCAAAGAACATGCATCTAGATACATAGTAGTAGTATAATATAAATTCGTAGATTTCTAATAATTTACATATTTCTAATACGCATTGTCAAACTACTTTCATTATTTTAAAGTACTTTCATTATTTTAAAGTAGTTACATAGATACAATCCTGATTATCTCAGTTTAGCCATAAGTATTTTAAATTACCACTAAAACATTCCCAGATAAGTAAATTGACCCGTCCTACCACACTTTATTAAGCTGGTTTACAAATCCTGTGATGTTAGCAAGTCCTACAAGGAACCGTGTAGTCAAGATTCTCTGTAATAACTTTGGTCATTAAACTCTTCTGGGCGTAACTAGACTTGTTTGTATCTATGCATCCGTAGCTACAATAAGACGTAAGAAGTGAAAAAAAATTCTTATAGTATGCTTTTATTTCCCTCTGATAATCAGCTTGCTTAATATTTCCTCTCCAGAGGAGAAAAAGAAAATCAAATGAGAGTTGAAATAGTGTGTTTTTCCAGTCATATAGGAAAGCTTTTGAGTCATTTTTAGGCTTTGTTGTACTGTCCTGATATCCACGTTGGCTCAGGCTTTCTACTATTCTTCTTTAAAAAAAAAAAAAAAAAAGTTTTTGTCTTAGGGCACATGCACTCACTGGAGATAGAGAAAGACAATGAAAGAGAAAGTGAGAATCACTCCCTGGGAAGATGGCCACTTTTTCCTCCTGGGATTTTGGGCACACATGGACATGTGCCTGGCATAATTTTGAAGCTGCCAGGTCCAGAACTCAAATTGTGATCAGCCATTTGGGAGTCCAGCACCTTAATCACTATACCAACTGCTGGCCCCTATACTTTTTTTTTTTTTTTTGGAATTATTTATTTTATTTTATTTTATTTTTATTATTTTTTTCACTTTGCCATGTACCCACCAGAGAGAGACAGAGAGAGAAACAAGACCTCAGGTCTGGGACTCAAACCATGGCTGATCATGTGGGAGTCCAGCACCCCAATCACCACACCACCTGCTGGGCCTGCCCTGTACTATTCTTAATTCCCGATATATTTTCCCTATGGAAGATAAAGAGGTAAGAATGTAGACTATAACATGTATCAATATTCTATATCCTGATATTCAGCATCTATGCTCAGAAACTTTCCTTTGAAACTCTTACCTCCAAATTCTAAATTAAAAATGAAAAATGGCTCAGTGACAGCAGCCACGGTGGCGCAGTGGTGGTGTGCTGGTCTATGACGCTAGGACCATGAAGAAGCCTGGGTGTCGGAGGTCAGGCTGACTTGTACACCCTGGGCAAACATGACCATTATCCTTTTGCGTGCCAAGACTAGGGCAAGGATCATGACATGAAGCCCTTTTGGGGTG